TTTTTTATTTTTTATTTATTTTTACTGAAGCCGACCTTTGAAGAGGTTAGTTATGAATTAAGAGTTGCGGTTTAGGAACAGGAAGGAAGGTTAAAAGCTAGCGATGGAGAGGGTCACTGATATTGGATGTTGTTATCCTTCTTATTTCGTTCGTTTTTGGGGCAGTTTTGTAGCTCTTGAGTTGTCTTACATATTCTTTTCTCTCTGTTAAGGTGCAAGAATACTTTGTTAAATCATTCTTCATGTACAATTATTTATTTGAATTTCAATAATTTTGCGGAAAATACGTAGATCAGCGAATGCATTTATGTTTTTTTACTGATTTTGTCTGACATTAATAATGTTTGCATTTCCTGAAGTTGAGAAGGGTTTGTGACTTTATTGGCATTGTTAGAGTGAAGTTTTTTGTTAGCGTTATAGTGCTATTGATCTTGCAGTTGATAGCCACTGCATTAGTAGGTGGTGATGCTTTGTTGTCTTTAAATTGGATTGGCTCAAAAACCTTTTTTTGGAAGAAAAGTACGAGGGAAGGGGAACCACGATCGGAAGATTAATTTCCTGATTCGTAATTGAACAGGAGTGGTGAAGAAGGACGGCCTTGGGATGGATGGATTAGCTCTGCGCTTTTTGTTGTTTATAATTAAGTTTGTGTGTTAAGTACTCTCTTTTCAGTGCATTTGTTTCTATTAATTTTATTTGCCATAAAACGATTTATTTTTGTTGTTCCACAACGTTTCTCTCTATTTTTTCTTCATTTTTTATCTATTTTTGCTTCTTATTTTTTGATAATGAGGTGCGTGGAATTAGTGCAAAATTTTAGTGATTTGAGTAGACTGGGATGGGTTAGGTGGAAGTAACAGTAATGAATTATTTTGATTTTCTTTAATAATTGTGATTTTTTTATGAATTAAGACGGCGCGGTCTTCGCATGTTTCTCACCAAAAAAAAGAAAAGAAAAAAGTTTGGAGAGTAGTGTATTAAAAAAATTAGAGGATTGTAGTGATTTAGTTGAAGAATGAGTGAGCGGACGAATGTATG